AATCATAAATGTTCATGTGTACAAAATTTTGTTCATGTGTCAGAGAATTCCGTAACAAGCGACCATATCAATCAACTCACATACGGGTCCTATAAAAACTGAAAGGACCCTGTTGCTCTCATCTGCGAAAGCATCAGCCAGTAATTGAGCAAAAAATCATTTTTCTTTTTCTGCACCTACTGAAAAAAAAATCTCCGCTCTAAAAATCAAGACAAAATTTTGTTGATCGCTCTGTATCGGGATAAACAACGAATAGCACTTAAGGCGGCAACGTGGTAATATTGGAATCAATATTGATTAATTCAAATATTTCTTTATACATACTTGCTCATATTTACACAACTATTTTTGAACTAGTTATAAGTTTCCTTTAACAAAAAGACAATTTGATCGTCGTTGAGGCACAAAGGAATAAACTGTGACATACGCATTTCACAAGAATTAAATAATCTAACTAAATGCACTTTTTTTTTGCATAATGTAAATAGTGTGTTGTTTACCCCACACCCCACACATACTTAATGCACCATCTATCCCCAAATCAGTTAGATTTTTCAAATCTAAATTAATCGATTGAAAGACACTAAAAAAATGCATTATATAAATCCAAAGCAGTGGTGTGGTTTTATAAACGTCAGAAACTGAGTAAGCACCTCATTTTTTTAAAGAATAATAATATTTGATGCATATGCTTAAATATTCCTCTGTGGTGTTACATCTGTAGACTTATCTATAATAATAATTATTGAAAATTTAGAGTCGCCAACCTGTTTAACTAAATCCTCTAATAAAGAAGGCGCTATGACATTTTTTATTATTGCAGAACATTTTCTTCTAGGTAAGTGTAGCTTGTTTTCTTGACTTTTACGGAAAGTTGATGATGATGTTCCGTTTTTATCTTCAGAAAAACTGTTGAAAATATCTGATAAGAGTCATAGATAAGTGATCCACACTTCTTATCGTACTATGTACAGCTACATAGCAAGCGAGAACAGTTTCTTTTACTTTACGGCGGTTACTGTTAGCTCCGTGGATACACCTAAAATGGTTCTCTTGGATTACTAAGTGATAATTACTCATAATTCTTATACAAACCATAATTAAAAAGCTTTCCTTGTGTTCTGTCAACTTTGACATGCACATGTTGTGTTTGGCGGTTCTAGCTCATATGGTGGGTCCTCAGTTCAACAGCACAAAACTTTGCAAATACTACATGTGCCTTCTTTAGCAGACGCACTGATTAAATAAGGATTAAATACGTACAGATATAAGGTACGAGACAAAAAATTATCACGGTGCAATTTTTTAAGAATTTTTTATTATGTAGTCCTTTGATTAAATAATACACCCAGTAGAAGTTAATTTAGTATACAAAAATGCTTTTTTCAGTGATATTTTTGCATCAAATAATTTCTGATCTGTGAAAACTCAATTGTGTCAAGAAATTTTGAGACAAAAAATTATCACGCATCACTTTTTGTATAAAAATTAATTAGAAAAACATGGTATGCGTAATTGTTGTTTATTTGTCCGATACGCAATTGTTTGTTAGAACTTTTAAAGTGGCGAAATATATTTGGCTGAGCTACAATAATTGTCTTTCGTCATGGGCAAAGAAAACGATCTAACAAAACGTGAAAAAGGACAGATTGAGGCATACTATGACCAAGGTTTGACTTTTGCGAAAATAGGAAGAAAAATTGGAAGAGTTTGGACCACAATCTCCAAGTTTGTAAGGAAGAAATACAATGAAAATGAACGACAAAATTGTGGAAGAAAAGAAAAACTCACTACACGTGCCAAAAGATCCATTGTGACTCTGACTACAAAGGATAACATGTCGTCCTAAGGGATAAAGACGACCCTAGGACTTCCTGTTCACAAAAGAACAGTTTTACGAGTACTGGCTAATGACAAAAATGTTAACTATGCCAAATATAAGAAACAACCAATATTAACAAAAGAGCATATTCAAAAACGTCGTGATTGGGCCAGAGAAATGCAGACGAAAAATGAAGAATGGTTCTAGACAGTTTTTTCAAATAAAAAGAAATTTAATCTTGATGGTCCTGATGGTTTTAGATATTATTGGCACGATTTACGGAAGAACCTAAATACTTGTCGAAACGAGTCCAAGGAGGTGGCAATATTATGGTCAATTAAGCGTTTAGTAGCTTAGGAAATACTAACTTAGCATTTATTTCAAATGGAATGGACTCTCTGGATTACCAAGATGTGTTGGAAGTGCACCTTAAACCACATTTGAACCTATTTCAAGACAGCAAAGTGATTTTTCAGAAAGATAATGCGTCGATTCATATATTTAATTCATCGAAAACGTGGTTTCAACGACAGAATATAGCTTTGGTACCATAGCCTGCGAAAAGCCCGGATCTCAACCCTATTGAGAATGTATGGGGTTCTCTTGTACGAGAGGTTTATAAAGATGGGAAGCAGTACGCAACAGTTAATGAATTGAAACATGGTATCTTGACGGCTTGGGAGAATTTGAACGTCAATTACTTTATCCATTTGGTCAATTCTATGAAGCAACGCGTCTATAATCTCATAGAAGCAGGTGGAAAATACGTTGGGTATTAAATTAGTTTTCATTTAGTTAGTTAGTTATTTCCCTTTTAAGCGTGATAATAATTTGTCACAATAAGTCTGTTAACAAAATTACTTATTTTCGATAAATTTCGTTCAGTTTTGTGTTTTCTGTAAAAATGTTTTATTAAATTAATTAAAAATGGGATCGCTCTATCAACCAGGTATCTTCACTTTCTTTTAATACATTTAGGCAAAAATTCTGCACCGTGATAATTTTTTGTCTCGTACCTTACCCATTCTATAGTTTGGAGCGAACATGCCAAAGGCCAGTGAATAAGAGATGGCACACCAACATTTATTAGTAGACAGCGGATTTCTGTCGGGCTGCGTCACGATTATAGGTGGGGACGCGCTGGATCGCCGGGACTCAGTAGCGGGTGATAGATAATCACTGAATTTAAACATCACTTATTCCATAAGTACAATTAACGATTTATTAATCAAACGGCTAAGTAAATGAGAACTGGTATTAATAGCAGAGTGCAACGTAGCACCGGTATTCTAATCTCAAATAAACGAAGTGCAGCCCGTAACTGCAATGAATTCCCATCCCGTACGAGCCGTACCGAGTTTGGCCTTGTCTAGCCCGACAGAAATCCGATCTCTATTTATTAGGCATCAAACGCCATCGAATAGCTTGAACTCCAAACACAGTATAAAGATTATTCAGTAGGCACTGTCGGCGCCTTTGATGTTTCTGACCCGAGTTTTGCATAATGCAATAAATGCGTATCAAAACAAAGAGATTTGTTTCTAACAAAATAAAAATTAATTTTTTTTCATCTTTGGCATTTGTAAATTTGAAACTAGCATATACAGGGTTAGGATTAGGCATTTCATTTTAAATTTAGATAATATCAAGTGGTACAGGGTATTAGTATTTTGGGTTGCGTAAAAATAATTTTCAGAAGTAATTCTCTCGTGACTAACCCTGTATAGTTATATGCCCAATTCAGGCCTATGGTTTTTTTTTGTTCATAAGAAGTATGGTTTCCTAGATGCTACCGTATATGAAGATACCCATGGTACAAGAAGATGTACCATGAAGATACCATAGTGGAATTAAAATGTCATATATCATAGCAAAGTGCACAATTAATTAGTAACGGTCTAGATCAGAAAAAACTCTTTAAAAACTAAATACCTACGTGGAAAAGTAACTTAAAAAAGAGTAAGAGATAATTATTTTTATTAAGTATAAATTCTGTTTCTAACTTGATGATCTCTATACTGTGCCCTAATCGCGCGCGTAGATTACTCACACAGCACCAACAAAACTGTTCTTAAATTTACCACTCTACATATAGACAGCGATGGATTTTTTTTAAAAATGTCATAAGCATTAAGATAATTTACAACGTTGCGAGATGAGCCTAACACACCTTTGCGGATATTTCTAGTCAACTAGATCTTATTTCGTTCAGAAGTTTCTGATAAATAAATGGGGTTATTATAATGAATAAATAATACAAACAAATTATTACTTGTGGTTTAAAATACATATACGCTTTTACTTACTCTTTCGTAAGCCCGCTTTTGTTACGAAACAACTATAAAAGAAAATTATTTTATCGTTCACTTACTTATTAAACTCTCTTAACATGCATGTTGAGGATGAATGTTAAGTTACTCTTAATATTCACCTCGAATGTTTCAACATCCGCCAGTCTTTGATTACACTCTAAGAAAGTCGTAAACAATTGAATTTTCATCGCTTGCTCCAAATATTTTTTTACTGCACATCCGTCGTAAGCATCTCGAACGTAAGAGGGTTATTAGTCGAAGACCTTCTCTCTGTCGAAGATGAGAAAAATTGGGGACGTTTCGCTCAATTTTCATTCTTTTGTGTTCGGCCAGTAAACCATCCTTACTGTTCTAATACTTAATATACTATTATTGCTGTCGTCGTAATCAGTCAATTCACACAAAATAAATTGTTATTTAAACAATTTGCATTCCTCACCACAAAACAATCATAAATAAATTATAAAACCTCTTAAATGTCGATGCCCTGGTCTAATAACTTGTTATTATGCTAAAATGCAGCAAATATCACCCACTTCCATTTCTGTAATAATAATAAGTAATTAACATTGTTACGTTGAGCAGCGAATAAATTCGGCGTAGGTAAAACTCAACAATTTATTTCTTAATTACTCGTTCCCGAAGGTGCACTGTATTTAAACAACACGCGACTTCCGTTTCCAGGCGTTTCTTTAGCGCTCCGTCGCTCCGTCGCATTGAAAATGAATCATCATCGGCATAAGATCAGAGAGTTCTCGACGGCCCATAGGCGTCGTATCGAGGCGGCGTATGGGTTTATTTCGTAACAATATTATTAGGTCAGTCATTAGTATTGCAGTAAAAATTGAAGTTGAAAAGCCAAAAAAAAACTTTTTGTACATTCATTTTATTAAAAACTTAAGTAACACGACATTAAATTGAAATGCCCATTAATAACATATTCAACACCAAGAACATACTGGGAACAATTATTCTTTGGCTGTTATTTTTAAATTGACCCATCTTGGCTGCATAACTGATGACATAGGCAACATAGGTTTGTTCATGAACAGTATGAAATAAATGAGCCATTGGTCCTGAAATTATACATTTAATTTTATTACTTATTACTACAAAATTACAGAGATTCAGAGCTACAATGAAAAATTCAAAAAGAGTAGCTAAATGTAATCAAGATTCTTTTTAATAATACCGAATCCTTCATTTAATTTACTTAATTACAGAGGCTGAACACTAAGCGCGCGGTCCTCGAAATCTCATAAATTATTATTAGAGATGGAAAAAGTCAGATAGTAAAGTTGGCTCTTCGAGTAGTATAAATTAAAATTATTTTCGACTAGGTATATAGAGAATTTTGTTTTCGCGACGTAACTTACACATAAACATCCTATACTTTATTATTGCATCTTACTCAATTTTTTTCTCTTTCTTTAAATAGGTCGATTTGTCCTTAAAAAAGTAACAAATCGCAATAACTATCAACTTTAAATATAGAAAATACTTAAGAAAAACGAAAGGGAACAAAAACAGAATAAGATGCATTAATAAAATACAGGATATACTATTTGAAAAAAACTGGAATATCGATATTTGAAAATTGTTATAATGTAATTTTTTTCATCTAAACTAACTGTATTAAAACCCATTTTTGTTAATATCACAATAAAGCTCGTGTCTTTATTTATAAATCTACAAAAGATTGTAACCCTGACTTTAAAAATAACCCTACGTGATTTTTTTGTGGCCATAAAAAATTTCAAGAAAATTGGAATAACTTGACAATATCAGAATTTCGAAAATAAAGTATGGTTATGAAACCTAAGAAAAGGCCAACTAGAGTATACTGACAACGTTCCTGTTGTATACAATAACATTTTATGATGGTTTAAGTATATAAAAATATATAGGGTATTCTATTTGAAGTAACTAAGTTGTGTGTTACGCTTTATTAAAAACAGAACACTCTGTATCGTTGAAAACAATTTTATTAGATGGTGCTCGAAGAACTGTAGAACTTTTGTCTTAGACTTTTTCCCTATTTTTTATAACAAATGATACATATCGAAAAGCGCACACTTAGTAACTCATACTGTATATAAAAGTTGTACATACCTTTGGCGTAGACTAAAACATCGCTTCCGCCATGCGTGACCTCATCAGTTAACACAACAGCCTGTTGAGAATACTGGTAATCTCTGGTATCGTTGATTGAGGGATCAGCACGAGAAACTGTACCATTAATTGAAGAGTATTGATAGTTATTTGGACCGCCGGTCCCGTATAATAAAGATGTATAAGGAATCTTGTCTAACACAGATTCTTGAGCAACATCTGAAATTAGTGAAATTTTGTAATAATTTTACTAACTTAAAAAACATTCACTATATTTTTTGGAAACAAAAAAAAAACATAAAGCTATGTTGAATGAGAATTTCGTTTGCAGTTTGCATCTTCCTAATAGGATGCCACTTATGCATTCGAGGATACGAATAAAAAGTGACTGATGAGGTCAGAATGTTGTAAAGACGACGTTAATTATTTCTAGTTCTCGATTTGCAGACATCCATAAATATATATTCTCATCAGTTTTAATAATAATAATAGTATATTTACCCAACAGAAACCTGTTCCAATTACAGTATTATAACAAAACTTAAACTTAAACAAAACTTAAACCAGTGACAAGTCATATAAAACTAGAAAGGCTAATTACTCTTTGAACTTTGATAATAACAACTGTTTTTCTTTTCCCCTAAAAATATGATTGATTACTTTTATGAAGTTCCAAGTTTTCATTTACTACAATTCTTCAAGTTTTGAAGGTTTGGTTGAGAATGTAGCAAGTCATTAACGCTTTTTATCTCTTGGTGAAACGAGACAGAAAAAGACTATTCATTTTAGGGGAGTAAGATAAGAGCAAATAGTACATCTGTTTAGGTCAAACGTTTTGATACTTTATTATCAGCTTGATATACATACAAAATTTGACAACAATCCGTCCGGCAGTTTAGAAGACTATCTGTCTAATAAAAATCGACACAGACGCGGACAGACGGAAACGAGAGACTATGTTTTCGTATTATAGGGGCATGAAACGTTGAGAAAACATAAAAGTAGGCAGTCACCCAATGGATTCGATTACAATACTTCCTTAGCTGAGGAGAGTGGAATAACATCAGTTTTTATAGTTTCAATGAATATTTAAATTTCTATTTGGTAGATTTTCCTTCTTCTTTTCCTTCACTACTTCTATTTAATTCTATTTGTTTATATATTATTTCGAGTATACTCGAGTATGTCGATTTGGTAATGAATGTTATTTAGTTATAAATTTCCGTCTTTTGTAATTTTTAATCCTTGAAGGGGTATAAAAACTTTTGTTTTCTTTTTACACAGTAACGAGTATACTCTTTGGTGGAAATAATAAAGTATCGAAACACTTGACGTCAATAGATGCTATATGCTTAGTACTCTTTCAGCCTTTGTCTTGCTATCCATCAAATTAATAAATAAGAATTTACAGAAAAAATCCGACAAGAATGACAATGTGATGGTAATAAAAGAAAATTCCATCGACGTAAAAAAATGACAACCTCCATTAATTGTAAAATTTGTACACTTACCTAGCACATTGGAACCACGTGAAAGATAACCAGTGAAGACAAGCGAATGTGAGTGATCACTAGTGACAACAATTAAAGTTTCTTGCGGGTCCGTTTTTTCTAAAGCTACACGAATCGCATCACTGAATGATACTGTTTCATCTAAAGCTTGTCTCGCATGGCCTCTATGATGAGCATAATCAATAAGACCACCTTCAACCACCAGTAAATAACCCTCTGGATTATTATGTAGTAGTTCTATTGCTTTTTGAGTCATGTTAGATAAAGATGGCATTCCCTTTGGAGATTTATTGCGAGCGTAGTCCATTGCCATGTGTCCATTAGCAAAAATTCCTAAGTTTCAGGATAAAAGTACAATGTTGGTAGTACAAATTCGATAAAAGATCGGTTAATAGATATATCTGTTTTTTTTTTGTTTATACTTTTACAACCACCAATCATTTTTTTGAGTGGTAATTTTAGCTTTCTTACGTATTTTAACACAGTAAAAACCGCAATATAAATTTTAAATGATATTTAGATTTTTTTTTAAAGAATGTGAAAAAAATTAACAGTAAGTTCTGTTAGGAAAAACTTCAGTCATTAAAAAAAGCAGAAATCATGAGTATATTACATGTCCCCTAAAAGCATATTATTTTCTTCTAGGAGTACATTTTTTATTTTGAAATATTTATTTTATTTTATAAAAGATGGAGCTGGGCAAGTTAAGAATAAGTTTGGAAACTTCAATTACCAATTTGTTCTTCCTAGGTTGTGTTGTTCTCGACATCTAAACATTACCAATTACTTTAAAAAGGATAGTTAAAAATTCTCAAAGTTGTTGTTAAATTGTTTTCTACGTATTTATTTTTCTAATATTTCTTTTTAAAACATACTAGAAAAATAAAAATATAATTAAACAGCCAAGACGTTGTAGTTTTGCCAGAGTTGATTAAATTTTTTTGGTTAATTTATCCATTATGACTATACTCTAAAGCATGTTTTACCTATATGAGTGTTTCTGTTACATTGTGTTCCCAAATTTGTACCAAATAAGTATATTCAGTGAAAATAGCATATTAATCGTAGTGTGCACCTTACCTAATACGAATTCTGTAGAAGATTTCACACTGTTGAGTTGTTCATTATTTTGGACGACTGCATAAGTCTTATCACGTCCTTTTTTGTCTTGTATCCAGTCTTTAATTAAATCACGGCCGTCTTTACTGAAACAAGCCCACGTATCTACTGGATCGCCTGGTAAATCTTTAGTGTTCGACTGAAGACACTGTCGTCCACCGCCCATAATCACATTAATGTTCTTTCCAGGTTCGTCTTCTACAAGTTGTCTTGCTATATCTTTACATTTTTTTGAGTCATCAGGTATGGTGCTTTCGCATTCCCAACCTCGGTTAGGAATATGAGCATACAGCGCACTAGGAGTTGCGTGAGTAACGCGCGTGGTGGTTACGAATCCTGTAGATTTGCCAGCATCTTGAGCCCATTTGATTAAACCATCAATTCTGGCTTCCGGTTTAAGAGAAGCTTCGCAATCGTTTAATTTCACAGAAGAATCTACCCCCGACGTTTTGTAATTAGTTTTTATGCCGGAAAAAAGAGCAGTAGCCGTACTTGCCGAGTCCGGAACTAGTTTGTCTGCGTTGTAAGTCTAATAAAATAAAACAAATAAATAAATTTAACTGAAATGGTTTTACACGGACAATATACAAAATGATCATGTAACACGACATTTGTATCTATTAATTTTTCATTAGTTTAATGTTAATATACAGGTCGCTAGAACGTATGGAAACGGTTAAATATCTTGAGAACCAATTATACAAATCATCTGAAATTAGGTATGGAGGTAGAAGAAGTTGTGCCCTAATTATTTGCAAAAAATTTTTTTTTGCTTCATTTGTTTTCGAGATGCAAGACCAACTTGTTTGTTTTTCTGAAAGTTACTACTATATAATTAATGCAATTTTGAATACAGCTTTTTTTTCTGAATTCATCGATGTAGCACAATCATTGGTACTTTCTTTCTGCAAACATGTATGTAATACCACACTATCATCTGATGTTACTCTATCGTAAAATATAGATTAGACCTTAGATCATATAATAAATAGATACCAATACTCAAACTGAAAGCTGTGACTAGACATGAAGCTATCTGTTGTCGTTTTCTACGTTAAGGGGAGTAGTATAATGCTATCCTTGTGTGATCACCACATCTTCATCTTTGTTATATGCATTTCATCTGTATATGTCTATTTCACTTCCATCCTTGTACCACACCAGCGCAGCAAATCGCTTTTGACAGATGTTTCTTCTAACCTCTCTTTCGAGTTGTTGTACAAAAAACAATTTTAGAATTTAGAATAAAGATCCTATTTTAAGTGATGTAGTCATAAAGGATCACAATTGCTGCCCAATAATTTACTATTCCTTTCGTTATCTACTGTGAATTATTTATAAAATCAAGCTGTCAACATCTTTCTTCCGAAGTTAGTTCAGACATACTTCCTAAAATTTAGGCGCGCAAAATTCAAATAGTGATCAGGCAAGGATAGCTTCATTGTAATCCCTCCATGCACGAGAGAGATGTGTGACAGGAGGATGTCGTCACAGGCTGTCCTAGGGAAAGAACACGGCATGGTGGTATCTATTTATTATATGATCTAAGGATTAGAAAAGTCAATGAAAATCTGTAGATTGAAGTTTCAAGTTCCTTAGATCTCATCAGTAGAGCATATTTCATTGATTATCTATTATATATTTGAAAGTATGTATTTAAGACTTGCGTCTGACCTGGTTTCGTCGTGTCTTAAATACGATAGAGATATACCTAAGTATCGCTTTAAAAAATTATATTTCGAATTAACAAGCTTGAGTCCAGGGGACCCCCTAATTTATATTCACGTCTAGTGTGTAGTTTTTAATAAAAAATATATAAACTGGATCAATTTTTACACCACTTTGAACGGACACGTTCATGCATTTTTTAAGGAAGCGCTGGGTTTGCCATCTGAGATAGGAGGTACCCCGAAGAAAAGTGTCAGTTTTCTTGTGGTACCATTTTTACTTCCCAAGCGTAAGCAAAGGAAGTATTGTAATCGAGTCCGTCGGCCGATTCTATGCTTTTACGTTTTCTCGGCCTTTCATGACCCCTAGAGGACGAAGAAATAGGTCTCCCGTTTCCGTCTATTTGTCCGTCTATCCGTCTGTCTGCCGTCCCGGATTTTTATTAGACAGATAATCTCCGAAATACTAGACCGATTGTTGCGAAATTTTGTATTTATATTAGGAATATCATGTAGATGTTAAAACGCTAACCAAAATTTACGTAATCATCCCCACCATTAATGCGCTGACGTCAGTTCAAAATTGTACGTAGTAAATGGGTTTTAAATTGTATAAAATAACATAGTCCTACACATGGACTTTACGATTCCGAATTGAGTTTTTACCCGAAACGTCTAGATTTTTGGAAAAAAAATCAAAATTATGAAACAACATTTTGCAATTTAATGTTGAATCTGCAAAACCAAATGCTTTGAAATCTTGGAGCTCTTTTAAAGTTATCATAGGCATGGTAAATTTTTAGTCAAAATGTATTTGCTCATCCCCCCCTAAAAAATTAATGACGTCACCTCAAAATTTTGCTGAATAAATCCTATCTTAAATGTGCAAAATATGATGAGTCTGTAGTTGTGATTTATCATTCCATTCATATTTTTTGGATTTGCATATACAGGGTGACTCAAAAAAATGAATGGTAGTGTGAATTTATTTTATTGATTTAATCAGGAACTACAAAACCGAATGCTTTGAAGTCTTGGAGATGTTTTAAATTTTTCATAAGCATGGTAAAATTTTGATCAAAATGTATTTGCTCAACCTCCCTAAAAATTTGATGACGCCACCGCAAAATTTTGCTGAAAAAATGATTAAATGTGTAAAGAATGATGATGAGTCCATACTTGCGATTCATCACTGCATTAATATTTTTTAGATTTGCTTATACAGGGTGCCTGAAAAAATTAATGAGTGAGTCAATTAATTTTATTGATTAAATCAAGAATTACACAAATGTATTACGAAAAAAGACTGTCTAATAGACTAATTTTTTAGTTTGCAACTGCGGCAAACCACTCCAGAAGCCTCGTTCTAAAACTACATTGTGGAAAAATGTCGTTACAATAGTCAGTCCAATAATAATTTGTTTGGAAAGTTATTTCTCTAGTAAAACAGACTAACAGAGGACAGACACACGAAAACTGGAGACATTTTCGTATTGTATACACTGGAAACGTCGAGAAAACACGGAATTAAATATTTTTCAAAGTGATTTTATTACTGTAGGCTGGTACTTCCCTTGTTTACGTAAAGATCATGAAAATTTAATTACTCTCAAAATGGAAAATATAGAGGCTCAAATAATAAAATAGTAGAAGTATTAATAAAATTACTGTATGAATAAATAACAGTACGCAACAAACAATACTGTTGAGGTGTACAACTATTCATATGCTTCACTGAATAATTATGATTATACGAGCAAATAAATCAGTTTGCTAACTGCACATTGTTTTATTGTTCTTGAAATAAAACCATATTTGGATTATTGTTATAAAACGAATTTATCAAAGAGTTACTTGTGATCAAAATTGTCGTTTGTTACTCTACTCTCTGACTGGTAGTTAGTACAGTTAACTATAGGCACGCCGCAATACAGCGACTACTTGACCATGGTTGTAATCCTTCAATGATCCTACCTATAAACGTATATGTACTTACCTTGAGAATTCCTACATGTGGAAACTGTTCAAAAGCTAAGTAACCAGACTCAGTTGCCGAATAAATTCGTGCGGCTGTGGTAGTGGTAATTCCCATCCCATCAGCAACAAATAGAATGACATTTTTAGCAGTACCCTGTATAACTGGTTTATTGAGGGCGTTGTTGATGTCGTTCTTTCCCAAATCAAACCAATAGGAACTATCTACACAAAGTCAATAATCATAACAATATCGATACTATCGCCTGTAGTCGAATCTTACCTTCCTTAGAGCTAAGTACACTATTTAATTTTATTGTCAAAATGAATACTACCACATCAAATTTTAGGGAATACATGCCTCCAAACAGTTTTTACTATTTGTTGCTAAACAATTAGCGCAATCAAGCGTTCACTGGTGTTATGACGTGGTTGAGTAATTTAACGATGGGATTAAGTGACAATGAAACAGTAAATAAATGCGTTTAGTTTTGTAACGCGATGAGTGGATAATTATTGTTGCCTGAGTGTTTTGTAAAAGGGTTGACACCATGGGTTGACCGATAAATGGCGGCAAAATGTTGAAGGTGCATTTCCTGTTGTAGTAACGAGGGGACTTTAAATGTAGGGTCTTATACTCCTCCCATTTGCATATACATACATCCCCAGTAGTACTACGAGTATACAGATGAAAATATTGAATTATTAAATTTTATTAATAACTTTATTGTTTGGTTTTTTATTTAATATAAACAAACAAAAGAATACCTTACCGTTACAACTTATAACCTAGTCTTTACAAGTTGCTCAACTATTGTTGCGTAAGATTTAATGAGAGTGTGCTACCTGTTGCACAATAAATAAAGTAATTAAATAATTACAGAGCTTCCCAAAATTGAAGTCACCGTTTTTTTTTTTTTGAATAACTGCAACCAAGTAGACAAATATTTAACTTTTGATTAGAACTATAGCCCCTAGAAATACATAGTACCGTCATCCATTGTTGTATGAGTGGAGCAAATGCAGTTGGTAACGCAAAAAATTCCCCTGGTTTGGAACCAAATTTTGTCAGCAGAGAGTTGTTGTCACGTGGCCTTGGCGTGGTCTTTTTGTTTAAAGTCAATGAATTGTCAATTAATATAACTAATAATAATTATTAAATAAGATTTTATTGATTAAATTTTATATTTTATTCAAATTAAAACTCCATATTTTGTATATAAAGTACAAACTTTAAATCCAACATAAAACTATTTTAAATTTCGCGGTCTGTCAAATGGTGTTTATAATTTTTGTTTTTGTTAAGTTTCCGCCAGGTTTGCTCCACGGTGACGATACTATCTGTCACAGCTATGTGTTTTCTAGGGGCTATAGTTAGAACCACGGCCATATATAACAGGTCTGCAAACTCCGAGTTTAAAATGGTCTTTTTTCGAAGAGATCCCAGAAGGCCACGGGAGCTTAAAGTTCCTAGCGCCGTCTACTGGATACTATGTTGAAACTCTCCACAATAAAGAATGAAATTTGCGTAAAAATGTCCTTGAATGCAAGTTGTCACAAATGTCAGCTTTATAGGTTAGGTTTTGTGACATCTTTTTGAAAGATAAGGGGAAATATACGTCAAATGTCATGTCAAACGTCAGTCGATAGTGCAAATAGTACAATTAACTACCACATGGTGGCGGTCATCTTAAGCTCCCACAACCTACTACGATACCAGTTTTTAAGCGCCCGTTTTATGAAAATTTATGAATGGAGTTGAAACACCTTACTTATACCACCGTGGTTAGAACCAATGAAGGTCAGCGTACGCATAAAACAATACATTCAATACTCATACACTCATATCAGCATTTTATTCAACTTTATTTTTTGTTATCAACTGAAATTGAAATAAATATGTAGTAAATGTTGTATATCATTTTAATCGCAACTTAACGGTTTTTCAAAATTCGTTAAAAAATACACGCACGTTGTAATTCTTAAAAAATAGAGATACGCGTCGCGACCCCCACATTATACGAGTATATGCATAATTTTTGTGGTGTCTTAAATTAAGATTTTCCCTCTGCATTTTGCTTTCTATTGATTATTATTATTTTTTTATTTTTCGAGCGTAAGCGAAGGAAGTATTGTAATCAAGTCCGTCGGCCAGCTCTCTACTTTCACGTTTTCTCGACCTTTCATGACCCTCCCGTTTCCGTCTGTTTGTCTGTCTGTCTACCTGTCCGTCTGTCTGCCGTCTGTCCGGATTTTTATTAGACAGATAATTTTCGAAAGTATCAAATTTTGTATTTATATTAGGATTATATCATGTAGATCTCCCTATCAATGTCATGACTCTGACATCTCAAAATTGTTCATAGTAGGTAAGATTAAAATTTTATAAAACAGCATGCTGCTATATTTGTTTTATTGTTTAAATCTTTAAAACAGTGCACCTCAATGTTATTTTTAGTATTACACTACATGTGCCAGAATTGATATACGTGTCCTTGCTGAAATAATGTTGACCGAAACAATTTTAAATGGGAAATTCACCAATACATACAAGTATAGTCTGCCCTTTATCAATGCATTCATATATATTTCTGGAGCAATTGTTAATCCGGTTCCTACCATGGGGTGACGACCAGGTCACTCCAGAGTTGCTGACCGAATATAAATAAGTGTGTTTTCGCAACATAATGTGTTGGAATGCTAGACAGTGAACAGTAACGGGGTATGGGTGATTAAAGTATGATATATCAATGAATTTAAAAAAACCAGCTCTATAAGATCTCTAAAAAAACGTATAGTGTGTCATTAAAACATAAGTGATATGTGGTAGAGAAACAAAAAAAAATATAGGGTATCAAAACGAATTTATATGATGTCATTTATCTTCTTAGAGGGTTACTAGTATTACTTATCCATATTTATTTTAATATATAGAGGTTATCAAGAATAGAAATTCGCAAAATCATATTTTTTTATTTTTCAAAGAAGCGGGATTTGTTGCACTGCACTTCGGGGACGAGGGAAGTCCTGTCGAAATAACTTTCGACCATTTTTTTAAACACTGTATAACCACTAAGCAGTTATAAAAAAGCACATAATACAGCGTGATCAATAAATATACTGTTTCAGTTGACAGCAATTAATTTTGGTTGAAATTGGTAGATTTGTCACTCTACGTTGCTTTCTGTTGTCAAAACTGTCATGGTTGACAGTGACATTTAATTTCCGCCAACATTTGTTTTATTGATTAAAATGTCACAACCAAACTTTCTTGGGCGCGTCAAAACGACGTTGAATTTGAATCAGGTTTGGCAATAGTAGCGAAAAAAAAATTCTTAGAATTGATTAATTCTGTTCCCAATTGAAGCAGTACTTGTTGATCACTCTGTACTATGTACATTTTAGGTAGGATTTGTATAGCAAAATTTCGGGAAGAGGTTATCAAATTTTTGAAGGTAAATTGAATTAATCATTTATCGTGTATATGATAACCTTAAAACGTTTGCAAGTTTTCAGAGCAATTATTTTTGTAGTTTCTAAGTTAAATTGTAAAATGGCGATACAAAATTCTGAATTTTTAAATCTAGGAGTCTAAAATAATAATTAGGGGCGTGTTAATAAACTACAAGTATACAAACATATAATTTTATAAAATTTAAGTAGGATTTACTTTATAAAATTTTGAGATTAAATTGTTAGTGAGTTGTTTCGACAAATTTTGGCTAGCGATTGACTAGTCCACTAAACTCGCTAATAGAAGACGGAAACGGCAGATCAACAATTTTATACTCAAGGGATTATGATAACATAAAATTAGCCAATGCCCAAATGCCGTCTAAGATCTCGCAACTGATTTACTTTGTATGTTTTAGGAGGCTTTCTAATATTTCCCGGACTTCACTTTTTGTTGGGTAATTATAATTAATTATTGTCATTGCTTCACCATCGTCGACTTCTATTCTGTCCACTTAATTCGTTTTTCCCTAAATTGTCTGGTTGTTTCTCTTATTTTCTTTCTTTACTTTTGAATAATTTTGTTTTCATTTTTTGCTCTTTTCTTTTCTATATAATTTTTTGCTCTTTGAGTTCTGTATAATATTCTTTTCTCCATTTTGTGTTCGTAACGCCTCCATTTGCAATGAATTCCTTATTAGTTTATTACATTTTCTCGTTTACATTCTTCATCCCACCAGGGCTCTTTCTTTCGATATTTTTTCGTTCTCTTTGTTGCATGTTGAATGGTTTGTTTCAAATCTGTTGGACACAATAGCCTTTTTTTCTTAGCATGTGTGAATTATTTCTTTTTCTTACTTTTCTTGGATGTTTCTATTTTGCAATTCTTTAACATCGTGCTCTTACTGTCTAATCGGTTTTGTTTTACTTTTAACAGTTTTTTTAGCTTTATATCTATTCTTACAAAAAAATATTCCCAGTTTATGTCCGTACCTCTACATAATTTTCATTTTGTCTTTGTTTTTGTGTTATTGTTCAATTAACATATGACTCCGTTGGGTGAGATATAATTACATAAAGTACTCCAAAAGGTATAAGATTATATGACCATCATACAATTATCCCATTGTGTCGAAATTAAGTTGTTTACAATACAAAAGGTTTTAAAGTCGTAAATAACGTGTCCACTGCAGCTCGACCGGCTGCTGTTGGTTCGTTCAGGGGTGACTTTCACTAAATATCTAACTACCTACTCCTACTACCTGCAGCCACAAAGCGTTCCGAAATAACCAGTCGCTTTGAAAGCCGGCCCTGTTAAATGTGAGCAAGAAATGTTTAGAAGACGATTTATTGCCAACCGGTAAGCTTAGTGCGAACCACACAAAGGGGGTATTTATTTGCGATTAACTACTTTTATGATGGTCATATAATCTTATAGCTTTCGGGCTACTATACCTCTGTAACTAGCGTTTCTTTTTTTAAATAGTACAATGCGTACTACAGAACATCACTACAAACTCTGGAAAGAAGTATTTTGTTTTTGTACCACAGTTCAGTCTTTTCGTCTGCAGCTCTGCAATCGCATAAATAACACCATAAATGAAGCTATCTGCCGTTTTATGTAATTTCTAATACATCTAAATGTTTCTTAGATTCATTGACTTGAGAAATTTAAAAATGTTGCAGATTTGCCATTTCTAAGTAATGGTAGACATTTTTTCTGTTTTAATTAAAATGGTTAATATATCATCTTTCAGAATAATGATGACTTTGATGATATTTGAACTTTCGTTGTCATTATAGTTATACACCCCAAAATGGCGGAACAAATCCAGTGGCCATTTAGATGCTAGAATCATTTATGAAAACCCTGGAGTTTAATCCCGAAAAAAATTTTGATAATTGCATGAAAATCTGAATTATTGTATTAGAAATATACTTCAATTCACAATCAGTTTTCAACGAGTCGGAAAAGTCTGCAAGCGGTCAGTAATGAGTCGTATCTAATCGGTCAGAAATGACCCACTTTCCGATCTTTGGCTATGAATGTCAAATGAAAGTAACGGGTGTTCAACTGAAAAATCATTTTGAGAAGGCGTTGGAATTTCATTTGAAACAAACGACATGTCTGTTCTTATAATATCCATTTGGCAGAAACATAACCTCTTATATGCTATATGTTATAAGAACAGATATGCCGTTTGTGTTAAATAATAATCCAACGACTACTCTGAGTGACTTTTAAATTGACCCGTTATTTATTGTAAAGACGGC